GTTGGGAAAAAAAAAAAAAAAAAAAAGTCTTTTTTTACCCTTAGGACTACTGACTGCAGAAGCTGGATACCAACCAAAGTGGAAACTAACCAAATTGCCTAGTTCTCTGTGCCCAGGTTTGCACTGATTGAAGCCTGCACTAAACCAATTAGACTTGAAATGATCATTTGGGGACAAAAAATACTGGTAGACAGTACATTCTTTCCTATAACCTCTCTGAAAAGCATCCTTCAGAAATAACTTTCACTGGCAGTTTTCTACATGAGCTTTATACTGCCTATGCTAAAAATGCATATTAACAAACAGTATATTCAGCATAGGGAGACTGACTTACAATATTCAACATGTGTTTATTGTTAGAAATGTAGTGGAAGTCTGAACAAATTAGCTAATTAAAGACATTTGTGATTTAGGGGCTTTTTTGTTTGTTTTTTTTTGCCTACATATGATAACCAGACAGCTGACAGAGAAGGCAGGCTGGAAAAGCAAATTTTCCCCTTGAGCAGGAATTATTCTAGCTCTTCCCAAGTCTGATTGCACTTCATTTTCTTGGTCCTAAGACTATGACATTAATCCCAGCTTTCAGTGTAATGGTTTTCCTTTGTGTCCCTTCAGTCCTGTTTCCAAACAGCATGATAACTTTTCACTTTTTCTTTCCTATGTGTTACAAAATAAACAATACCAGTCCTTCATTTGTAGAGAGCATCATGGGAATGCTATGCAGCCCTCTGTTAAGGATAACAGTGGCAGCCATGGCTCTCCAATCAGCGGGAAGCTGGAAGGCATCTTCTTTAGCTGCAACACTGAGTTTAACACCGGGAAGCCACCTCAAGATTCACCCTATGGAAGATACAGGTATGAGATTGCAGCTGAAAAACTCTTCAACCCAAATACTAACTTGTACTTTGGAGACTTCTACTGCATGTACACAGCCTACCACTACGTCATCCTCGTGATCGCCCCCGTGGGGTCACCAGGAGATGAGTTCTGTAAGCAGCGCCTTCCCCAGCTAAATATAAAAGATAACAAATTTCTGACATGCGATGAAGAAGATGGGGTCATGGTTTACCATCATGCCCAGGATGTTATTCTGGAAGTAATTTACACTGATCCTGTGGATCTCTCCCTTGGCACAGTTGCAGAAATTACTGGTCACCAACTAATGAGCTTGTCTACTGCAAATGCAAAGAAAGATCCCAGCTGCAAGACCTGCAATATCAGTGTTGGACGTTAAAACTTCTTTCATTCCTTAGGAGCCTTCAAACCTCTGTTGCCCATTTCCATAGTCAGACAGTTCTGTCAGAAGCATGCACATGCCGCTGTCACCAAAAGCAACTACCAGTCTTCAAAATCTCCAATAGCCTTCTTAGGATCTCTTCTCTCCCTCTTTCCCTTCTGTTCTCCCGATGCTTTAAATGATTAGAAGTCCTGGATTTCTTTCTGGCAACCATTTATACCTAGATGCTGCAAAAATTGTTTTCTGTTTCTTGCCAAACATAACAAAATCCTATATAAACTGCTTCAGCAAAATAAAAATAACGGCTTATAAATGGTGTTTAAATATGCATTCATTTTAACTACTGAACAAGTACTGGGATAACTGAACAGCATGAAAGGTTGTAATTGCAGCATGATTTGAATTTCAGAGCCTAGAAATGTCAGCACTTCCAACGTGTTGTTTGACAGTGTTATTTATGTTATTTATATTAGCTAACTGAAAACAGAAACTGTGTCTCGACATAATAAATATAATAGAAAAATATTTTATTTGTACTGTTGTATAAAATATTATACAATCATATAGAATATATAGATTACATTTTAATATCAATTGTATACATGTCATTAAATCATTTTCCCTTATCAAAGATGTAGTTTGTAAACTTCAAATAGCTCTGTATCTGTTCCTGTTGCTCTAGATGACTTTAATTAAAACAGATTTATGAAGACCATTTCTGATTCATAAAAGTTAAGTTATAAATTATTAAATCAGTAACTGAAACAACAAACAGCTGCAAAATAAAAAATTCCTTTTTTAGTGTTCATATTATTTCCTCCATACTACTTGAAGATGCGTACATTTTCCAAATCATGCCATTACATACTAGATAAATACAAACGTGGTTGGTACATAATAGGCTTATTAAAATCAAAATCTTCTTACCAAGGTAGAAAACAGCTTGCTTATACTATGTGGTCAATACAAAATGACAGGTAAAGCAAAACACTAAACATGATTCAACTGGTTCCAGTCCCTTATTTTTTTCTTTAAGTAATTCTTCCCTTCTTTCTGTCTGGGCTAGGAATTCCCCAGAATCCCTGCTTTTCATTTCTAGTACGAAACCTACTGATACTCCTTCTATTACTAGTCCACTTTTCACACCAATGGCCTATCACAAACAGTGACAATTCTCCTTAATATTATGAAGTGTAGTGTTCTGAAAGTTAAGAAAGATGTGTAACTCCAATGGAAAAATAACTTTTTCTAACCTTATTCTCAGTAAACAAGAAGTCTAGCAGTCCTCATCAGATAACTGTGACACTCACTTATATACCATGTACTTTATCTACCCAAAATATCTTAGCATAATGCATTAATCTAGTCCTGTTTTCATATATATATATATATGTGGCAATTTATAACACAAGAAGTACTTCAACATTTTACAAAGTGCATGCGTCTAAACGAGCTTTGGTAGTTAGAGAAGCGAATGTTATAGCATCAGGCAAACCAAAGTGCAAAGGTTAATAGAGAAATCAAAATTAGCATGTAGTTGATCTATTTACTGACTTTTAAATTCTGTGAGCCAGGTCCTGTGAACTAGTGTAAAGGACAGCAGCCAGTACATTTGTTCCACCTTTCCTCAGCCACCTGTAGCTATTTTGTTTTGCCAAGCACTTTCTCTTATTCCTACAACACCACTAGTTCCATTTGGCATCACGTTCTGGCCTTTTCTTGCATAAGCAGCATCACTCTGCTCTACTCCTGGCACTGCTTCTTCCTGTGTACCTTTTTTTGAAGCCACTGGAATTGAATGGCCACTCTGTCTTGACAGCTAGAGTATTTTCTGAGTTTTCCTTTCACTCGCCTTAATTCATTTCTTTTAACCTAGTGAATCAGCACCTTGATAGCCAACATTATTAATTAGTTATAAGTCATGTTAATTCTGGAAACAAACGTGTGGCACATTAGCATGTACTAAGATGTACTAAAAACCTGCAGAACATTTCCTCACACTTAGAGCAATTCTCAGTTCTCCAAACTGAGAATCTACATCACTTCAGTATCCTTTTAATTTCTTAACATTCTCACAGTGCACTTCAAGGCTTTTTCAAAAGGAAAAATATATTCTATAGTCCACTCACCCATCTTGCATATTGCTGTCCTCTCTCATCACAGTTATTATAACTGGTAAAGTGCATCAAAAATCTCAGTGTGTCAAATAATTGTGCAGCAGACCAAGACCTGTAAAATTACTTTCTCTTTTTCATTACTTGTTTGTTTGCTTGGATTTTTTTTTTCCCCTAGAGATCAATATCACAGCATTGCATTCACTTCAAATCGTTTTGGAAATATCATGCTTACTAATGAGAACCTCCAGGAGCCTGATTTTTGCTTTTGTGTGCTTGTATTCAGAGTATTCCTCAGCCATTGGCACCCGATCTTCTTTCTGAGGACTCCTATGAAAAGTAAATAAAAGCACCATCATTTTTTATGAGTAAGAGGAGAAACAGTCTTAAAAATTAATTGCAACAACTGATGAAGATTGGGGTTTCTTTACTGACTGTAAATGACTAAAGATAATTTGACAGGACTAAAAGGTTCTAATATATAGAAATAAAATAATATTTAAAATACTGAATATTCATACACCAGATAACTTTCTTGACAGCTGTGGAAGCATAACTACTTGATGCTCAAATATGCAGAGAAGTCGTAATAGTGCTTTGAAAACTGTTACCAGTGCCCACATACACCACAGTTTTCAACAAAAAGGTTTGCTAAATGAAGAGGAGGAAAAACAGAGTGAAAAATGGTCAGTATTTAATTCTGGATAAAAAAACCTGTGACTTCTGGTTTTAAAATATGTCTGTTTAAAAATGCCTCACTGTCCCTGCAGACTGACATCCTCAGAAAGAGATTTTTAGCAGCCTCCCTTCAGCTCAGGGAATATCCAGTGCTGAGGTGGAGTTTATACCCATTTCAGGTGTGTCCTGGAAGATCCCCAAATCCTGTCTTTCCTCACGGATGACCACATTTTGAAGGAATTAGGTAGAGCTATAGATGGGCATCTCCAGAGACCAGACATTTCCAGGGTATTTTCCAGCCCTTAGGTGCAGCCCCTTTGGCCTGCTCACCCCAGAGTACCAACCCTCACAGAGAAAAACACCCCTGCCCAGGACCCAAAGGGGACATGGAGAGGGCTCTGCTGAGCTGCTGAGTTACCTTCCCGTCTGTTTGTAGAACTGCTCCTCAAACTCTCGAAGAGCCTTGCGAAGCCTCTTCTTATCAGCCCTTGTTTCTCTGAGATGTTCAAGCAGAACGGGCCTGTGAAACATAGATGAGAACATGAAACCCTCTGGTGCTTGGGAGGGCTGTGAAAGCCCTGGATTTGGGTAGCAGAGACCTTCTGCTCTGGGCCTTTGGCAGGCACTGACCAGAGCCCTGAGACATTCCATCACACTCCATACACAGTTGTACTCCTGCCCTTTTACTGGTACTCCAGCTAATAAAGGGAAGGCAGAGACTCTGGTCAACAGAGGAGGAGAAGCATTCAGGGCTGATACTTGCTACTAGCCTTAATTCCCTGTGGAATTAATGGGGTATAAAGGGCTCAGTATCTCACAGGAGGAAATGCTGTAACTGAATTAAAGTCAACATCCAAGCCCTGCTCCTATTTGCAGCTGTTCCCAATCATTACTGCGATGCAGTGGAAATGCTAGTGGTACCCAGAAGCAAAATTTTTGGAGGCCATGTTTTAGCTAGTGTTCAGAGAGTAAGGGTTTTAAGCAGAAAGAGAATTCTGTTATGAATTTGCTCCTGGTAATTGTTTTATTTTTATTTTTTTTCATAATGACAAAATGCACAGAAATATCTTCCCAGCATTTATGAACAAACTATTGTACACATAGTTGAGTTACATAGAAATCTAAGTAATTTTTATTTGATCTCCATAGTGTTAGAGTCTAGTTAGCTTCATTTATGCATCTAAGACGTGCCAATCGAAACACAAAAGAAAGATACCATCCCCTAAGTTATGAGAACATATGTGTTCCTGGAAGGCACAGTCTTCAACAAGTTACCTTTCCCCTCCTGGAGACAAAAAGTTGGCAAAAAGTTGTTTTAATAAACAGCTCAAACCACCAGTATGCTGCCCAAACAATGAATCTCCGTTGCCTCCTCTCTCCCATAAGAAAGCACTGAATCACTCCTTTGGTATAGAATATACCTATGCAACAGGTGTGGCTCATATTTCTTTTACAGGCTCATATTTTACTCACAAAGTCTAAAAGAATTGTTTCAAAACATTCAGGGGGAAAAAAGAGAGAACTTACATTGTTGCCTCATGTAAATTGGACATAGACAAGGCTGTTTGCCTGTAAACTTTCTTTTCATCCAGGGGTGAAATATGTGCAGGCTCACTCTCCTCCTGTGAGTAACATAGGTGCTCTTCAACAGGAAAGCAAGACATTGGACCAGATGATAACTCATGGGTGCTCTGAGAATGGTCTTCATCTGAGTCTTCCTCCTCCTGCTTGGGAAATACAAAACATTATCAAATTAATTGTTTAAATTACAGTACTTACAGTAATAGGCTGACAACATAAAGAATTAGGATCTGACTTCCTGGATGTATTAATTGAAACAGATTACACATATTGAAAGGTTTAACAGATCTACCTCAGGTTGTTCATGAAAGCACTCCTGTGGGGTCACTGGGTTACTGTGTATTGCCTACCAGTGAGTAAAAAGGACAGAAGTTGGCCCTGCTTCCAAGTGTCTCCAGCCCAGAATTTATTTCTGGCTATCCAAAAGCCCTTACACATAGCAAAGATTTAACTAACATTCTGTATTTATGTAAGCAGTGCAGTCTGGCTGGAACTTGTACTCCTCTTACATATACATCTCCATTATTATTATCTCCTGATATTATATCCAGATGTTTTGACTATAAAAAGAGCTGAAGGGAGAGATTCCACAGTTTTATAGCTACTAGTGTTAACTTCTAAAATAGACTGGTATTGGTGTCTTGCTCACATTCCTCCACCCTCAGAAAAAAATTGAGCTATTAAGACTAAGGCTTAAACACAAAAATTCCATGGGACAAAGCTCCTAACAAGTAACACTTTGGGGAAATTTCAGGGAAATTTTTCAATGAAATACTCATATGCAAGTATGCAAAGCTTTGCACTGTGATTTTTCAAAGAAATGTGAAGTTACACTGTCATCTAACAAGACTATAGTAATTTTTAAAATTGACCTAGCCCAAATTACTATTAGATTAATATTTTTGGTAGACGTGCTAATTAACTTCCGAGTAGCTGGTTTCCACTGCCTTCACTCACTATGAGACCAGTACTGTTCCATAGCACCAATATATTATTAAAGTACTACAAATTGCATATATGTACTAGGCAATTGATGAAAGCATTGTTGATAACATATAGAAGTTAGATATAGTGACAGCAGAGTCCTTCATGAAAGAGAAAGGTTTCCTTCTGTGTTGTAGATGTTTGCCACAATGGAAAACTAATGCCAGCCACTTTGATGTCTTAGCCAGCCCACTGAAGTTCTTGTCTCAGAAACTGCTGCTGTACATTGGAACCTCTGGCATGTGCAGAAGTTGAAATTTACAGAGCATTTGCTCTATTTGAAGTATCAACACCCTGTATTAACCAGTGAGCAGGTTTTTTGGATATCCATCAGCATTACCGCTAAATGGACATACAGGTACAAATCAAACACAGCATTTTGTATGTTTCCTTGACAATGGATGAATTCTTTCCAACTTACAATTGTTGTGATCAAGGATGGAGCGGCCAGAAGTTTCTTGATAATTCTGTATCTGTCGTAAAGAGGTTTCATGAGACTCTTTTCTTGCTTAGTTACCTAAAGAGAAATCATATCAAAACATAGCCCTCAAAAATTAAAAAGTAAATTAAAAAGGTTCTAATTTTCTCCTATAAAGCTGAAAAAGGTATTATAAGAGTATGAGCAGATGTGTATTTTGGTTCAATAGATATTCCATGGGAACTGTAATTCAGTCAATACAATCTAAAAAGGAAAAATTACAATCTATTTTCTAATGAAGAATACCCAGTGTGGTTTCCTCACTTTTTTGGCCACATTGCCCAGGCAAAGGGTAAATTATTCTCTCTCTGAGGCTGCTGCTAGAGCAGTAGCAGTTCAGATGTGCTGCTGCTGTGCCTTGCATTGCCAGCTCACACCCTTAGCTGTGATGACAGCAGCAGGAATGTCACAGCCTGCCTGGGACAAGCCACTCATTGGTCCAGTGGGATGGAGAGCACCAAGAATACAGTTCTGCAGCCTGCACATGGAGCTGCTCTGTGCAGCTTTGCTGTGTGCATTCCTCACCAGAGCTGCCTTCCACAATGGGGATTTACTGTCCCTTCATTTACTTTGCTCTTGGTCTTTCATGAGCACTTGGAGCATTTGGAAGAGAATATGATTTTAAATCAGGTGTTAAGTGCCTGATCCAGCCACAAATATTCACAAATACAAAAATACACCTTAGGGAAACTAGCTGTACACTAGATTGACTTACTGCATTAAGGAAAAAAAAAGAAAAAGCAAATTCCATAAGGAAAAAAAACAACAGAACAAGACAACCCTCCCACCCCAGCCAACCAACCATGTCATGCCACCACATCCCCACACTCCCAAAGTAACATTTTTCTCAGTGATAAAACATCCAAGCGGAGTCATTTGCTCCTAGTCCACCATCAGCCCCTACTCATCAGCTCCCACACCTGAGCACTCACTGGGTGCAATTTCACTGATTTTTGGCACTGCAGAGAGGCCCAGGTGCACCTGCTCAGATGAGTGAAGACATGGCAGGTATGAAGAGAGTGGCTGATGGCAAAAACAATAGTCCAGAGCTGCTCAGAAAGACAAATGCCTGGACAGCAGGAGCAAGGGGGACAGTAGACAAACGCAGGCTGGTGACACTGCTCACATCTGGCTGATGGAGTACTTAGGTACCACTTCTAGAGCCACCCTTCACTGCAGAATGTCAGGACTTGCCTATCCCAGCCTGGCTGCTTCTCTTCCCCAAGCATCCTGTTCTATTTAACTACAACACAGAAGAGCTCTAGGGAATGCCAAACAAGCCAAAAGAGAGAATTTTTTTTTTGCTTTCAACCTGGTCAACGGCCTCTCTGTTTGACTATGTCAGGTAAGTCTGGATAGAGATGGTGCTGAGCCATACCAGACATCAGCAGGGCAAACATCAGCCCCAGGACACCCCACTGTGTTTCAGGGATGATGTTACAGAGCTGCTTCAGCCCTGAGAAGAAGCACCCTCTCTGAACCCTTTGCTACAAAGGCACCCTGCTATTCTCTTTCCTATCTCTGAATCAAGTCTCTTTTACCTCTACATTGTACTAATAATTTCTTCTTTGTTTTCCTTCTTAAGAAATATAATTTCTTCATACCCTTCTTGCATACTCACTCCATCCCTCAGCTTTCATTCCAAGCCCAAAGAAGATGAACAAAAATGGGGTCAGAACCAGATTATAATTTTAACAGCTGGCATATTTTTGGACAAACAGTGGTGCCAGTTCCCTCCTCCTCTACCACAACAGCTACTAGCCAGAAACAGACATTCACAAGAATACAGACATTCATATCAAAAAGAAATTCCTCGACTGTGTAGACAAATTTTCAAATCATAATCTCACCAATTGTGGCATTTTTTTGTTTGCACCTACATTCAGCAATGAGGTCCCTTGAATGGATTTTGAACAATACTTTAAGTCCTGCTGTGTAGTAAAGGCAAACATGTACAATAGGTCATGCAATTTTGTAGTTCATATCTCAGATGGTACCCTATATAAAACCTTCCTCAGCTTATAAGCATTCTAATCATACATGACAGCAGAGCCGAATCTTCTGTGAATACGTAATCTTTCAATTTACTCCTCAAATTTTCCAATCATGGAGAGATATAGAGCCAATTTTTATTTTACTTTCATTTCTAACATATAATTAATCAGTATCAGGCAATAACATTTATATCTGAAAATTAGTTTGAAATAGCTAAAATTATATAAAAAATTGTGTAAAATTCATCTAAATATATTTAATATACCAAAAATACTGGTTAGAGAAGTTAGATAATTTTAAATTTACCTATCTTTCCATGGCATACTTACAGGTTGTCCATGAATACTCTCAAAATATAGTAGACATTTCTGAAGATTGATTTTTTCCAAAGCCATTTGCTTTTTTGTCATATCCTATTTAAAAAAGTTATTTATAAGACTGAGTCAGGATTTCATGACAAGGGTACAGGTACATATCTGTTTAATAATCTCTTCTTCCAGGATAAACATTAATAATGAATTCTATTTCTGTTTGCACTGAGGTCAATGGGGACTTGGCATGAACTTAGCAAGAAAAGAGTCCAAAATTAAATTACATATATATTAAGTATGTTTAGTGGTAAAAAATGAGAACAACCACCATTCTAGACAAAACACTCCAAAAGTTGAAAAAATGCATAGAGGGCATTCCTCAGCTTTTTAGTTATTCATTAAGAAAGAGAAATAGAGTTGCCTTGGCTGGTAAGGGATGTAGAACAGAAAGATTTAGCAATGCAAACCCCACCTGTTATGGTAAACAGCTTATTTCTGTTCAAAAATTACAGTATGAATCACTGGTCCCAAAAGAACATTGATTTTTCAGTGTTGGAGAATAATCAGTATTTGTGGGGAGCACACAGGGTAACAGGCATTGGTCTCCTCCCTGCTCCTAACAGTTGCATATTTGCACCTGGGCCAGAACACCGAGGTGCACATGAAGTGAATATCGTTTCCCACAGTCTCTGCCTGATCACGACAGCTTGACTTAGGGCTAAGTGTTCAGAGCTGTGAGGGAGATGAAGTAATTTGAAGAACCATGGAACTGGAGGCACACACACACAGGGGGCCTTTCTGCAGAAAGCTGATGACAAGGGGGCTTTTAGTGACAACTTGGAGAAACACTTTTACTAATTAGACCTTACTTTTAAAAATATATCAACTGTGAAGAACTGACACTCTTCTGATATCAGACTACCTTGCTTTTAACTTCAACAGGAGCAAAACCTTGTTTCTTGGGTACTCAAATGCAAAAACAGCACAGAGCCATTAATCAGAACTGCTAATCACATTTTCCTAAAAGGTCTGTATGAGTTAATCACTCTAAAATCGTCTGTTACTCACATTAAGAGATGAGCTGCTAACTAGAATGCTGGAGTATTATAAATCAGCTAATTTGTTTATTTATTGCTAGTTCCACAATTAATACAAGGTTAATTCTTTCAAAAACTATTAAGCCTGGAGCAGCTGAGTGGTTAGGAAAAAATGGAGTGATCATTAATATTGATTTTACACAAGAGAACCGATCTCAAGAGGGCTTAGCATTTGAGTCTATTTCATTAGCTCATTTTATTAGCAATCTCAAGACAGGCTGGTATTCAGCTAAGTTTGAAATAGCTGATAATTTCAAAATCAGAGAAGGCAGCTGGAGTCACAAACTATAGAATTGGGACTTTAATATAGCAGTCTGAGACATCTTAGGACTGTAGGCTACATACAGCAGCAGGAGATTCAATGCTAATTAAATAGAAACACTGCTCCATAGCCACAGAGAACATGAACTGAAGTGGGTCAGTGTTGAGAAGACAGATACATAAAGGGAACCAGTCTGAGAAAAGCCTTGGGGGACAGGCTGCAAACATTCAAACAGAAGACAAAAGTTATTTGTGACATATAGAGAAAGAAACGGGGGACTTCACCTAAAGATAAGGTAGTAGTTTGGTTTCCATAACTTGGAACACAAAGCGTTGTATACAGTTATCTTCCTTACTAGCCTGTTCTGTTCCCTGCATGCTTACGCCTTCAAGCTCACTGTTGTTTTTCCAGACAGAAACTACAGACTGGCGACAGAAGGACAGACAGTCCAGTGAGTGCTGGGCCTGCCCAGACCCTGTCAAAATCAGTGCTTTGTTTCCACACAGGCACAGAGTCAGGTTCCCAGGGCCTTAGCCTGCCACTTGGGGATGTGTGGTGGCTCATTACCAAGCAGCATTTAACACAAAATTAGAAACAAAAAGTATAAAAGAAAGGCAACAAGTGACATGACACCCCCACAGACTGGTGCCAGATCCTGTCAGGCCAGCTCCAACCTTACTCAGGGGACTGAGGCAGCAGTCACAGCCCCAGCCACCCAACACTCGGATTGGATTCCAAGTTGGGACTTGGGTCTTGGATTTGGTGCAGCTTTTTGAGTAATATTATACAAAGTGTGCTTATTTGCATTTTATCTCTTGAATTTCTACATTCATGCTCTTAATCTTTATTTTTTTCCTAAAGCCTTGTACTTAAAACCAAGGTGAGCCATTACATAAATTACTATCTCCCTGCAGGAGTTAGTGACACAAAAAATAACAGGTGGCCACCCCTTTGTGGGGTACTGAGCCATTCACAGGCCAACCCAAATTTTCTCTGCAACTTCTAATTCAATAACTTAACTCACAGGCTTTTTTGCAGGAGGGGGGTTTTGTTCTGGAAACCACATTCTGCTATTTAGATCTTGTGGTCTGTGCTCTTTAGACATACTGGGGTTTTACTCTGCACCTTTCTAAGGACACACAAGCTCTCATTTGTATTTCAGCAGAGCTTTAGAGGTTTTCCACAGTGAACTTCAGGGGAGAACTTGGCAGGCTTTCATGGAAACACTATCTTTGGCCAAAATAACTAAATACAAAAAAAAAAAAAAAAGAATAATTTAGCTGCCATTTAGTTTACTAATAATCTAGGCTCAGATCCTAGTGTAGGATCTAAATGTCATATACAAAACAAAATGTTCCACATAAAATATATCTACAGTAATACCAAAATTGTTTGTAGCTGAAATGATGCCTTTGATTTTTGCTGTTAACACAGACATCCTGGATTAATTTTGCGTCATCAATGCCACAAACCTCACTCTCCCTCAAAAGTCCAGGATGACTCATAATCAAAATCCAATCTTTTTTTAATGTTATACTTAGGGAGCTATTAAAATATATCATTTTGAAATAGATCAATTTGATTACTGCTCAAGCCTGTGTTCCCCAACAGTTTTGATAACTATTACCAAGCACCTTTGCTAACAGATAGTTTTAAAAACACAATTTCTCTCTGCAAGAAAACAAAAGGAAAATGAATAAGATTTCTTTTAAAAATTGAATTTTTTTTGGCATGTGAATGCATTTAATTTACATTACTTCCTTGTTTATGAGAATATTTCTAGTCTGCACTGCCATATCATACATTTAGAAGGTTCTCTTGGAAAATTAGGAGAAGTCAAAAAAAATTGAAAAGTTAGTGGGACAGATAACTTTTATAAGAAACTAACTTTTTATAAGAAAGTTTCTTGGACTGGATTTCCTCATAGACATCTGTTTTGGTGTCATCTGATCTCACTCCTTTAATAAAAAAATTAATGACTGAAAATACAGTCTGCACTATTACGATTTTAGAGCTATGTACAGAAGAGCATGGTTTTGTTGCCTTTTTTTGTTTTCTGATTATGAAACACTTTTTCCACTTCATTTTTCTTTATAAAAATGTAGTATATAAAAATAAACAATTAAAAAATCAGTCATGTATGCAGCACCCATGATCTAAGAAGCATGGCATTCTTATGCACAGTCCTGGTTTTTATAAAGCAACTAGTTTTTTAAGAACCAAGAATGGAAACAAAAATTAAAAATATGCTGGGTAATCTCTGCTACTGAAATACACTCAGAATAATTTCTTAATTCTTGGCATGGTTTAGCATTTAGTTCTTTACCCTCTCACCCTTTCCTGTTTTTCATTCACCAGCCAAAGTCTAAATGTTACTGTCAACATTTAGATTTTAGTTACCTTTGAGGGCAGAATTTACTGTCTTGTTTGGCTGTAATGGCATCAGGACAGCAACATCCTCTGATAGCAAAAACAGCCCTTCAGAAAAGTGGGGGTTTGGGTGGTATGTATTGTTTAAGAGAACCCTATGTGATGCCAGAAATGTGAAGGCACAGCAAAATTTTAATATATGTACTAGTTGTAAAACAAAAGCTGATTTTCCAGCCAAGCAATCATGCTCCATGGAATGAATATTGCTTCTACATTCAGAAGAATAATTGAGAGCATGGAAGAGAAGAGGCAGGATCAGCACAAACGTACAAGGCCAGGAGAGCAAAGCACTCTGGATAGTTGTGCTGTCCCTGTCACTTCAGTGCATGCTTCTGAGTCTGCAAAGGCTTTCAGCGTTTCTCAGCTGAGAGGAGATCTTTATCATCAAAATACCTTTAGCAACACTTTTTAGTCACACAGTTTCTGTGGACTCGAGGTGCTTGTGCTGCCACCATCTTCATTACACCAGGATCTGCAGTTCTGGGCACACAGCCTCAAGTCAGCAGGTTCCAGCAGTGCCTGGCAAACAGTTTTACATGTGTATCTCTGAGCAAAAAATGCTTAGCACTACTTGAAAAAGCCTTCTGCACCTCTGAATCTGAGCAGTTCTTCTCAGAAGAGTCACTTACAGAAACTGCACTAGAGCTCCCCCCTTGCTAGAAAGAAAATGCACTGCAGTGCCAGCAGACAGAGGATGCGCTCACCCTGGCACACCCCGAGCCAGCCACACCAATATCTGCCTCAAGTGAGAGAGTTCTGAGGGAGTGGCCATGCTTCTTAAGTACCTTTATAGTCTCAGGAATGTTGAAGTGTTGTCTTTTCTCCTTTAGTCGTCTCAACACACTATCCATCGTTTCATCCACTGAGGGAGCTGGTTCCATACTTGTGGCCTCCTGTGTGCCAGCCTCTTTAGAGGTCCCACTGCCTTCACAGTGCTCATTTCTTTGGGGTGCTGTGGAGGTGCAGTTTTGCTCTTCTGATAGTCTGAGTTTCAGCTCTGAAAGGCAAATTGCATGGCAAGTAAACAAATTAGAAGTATTTGCAAAGCAGTTTCCTCTGACACTACTAGGCAAAAACAAACCAAAACGTTCCTACTTCTTGCATACAATTATTATCATACCACAGGCATGTAGGAACATAATTCTGCTTCACTTTAATGCGTAACATCTTTTGCTTCCTCGAGCAACTTAAACTGTCCCTCTCCCTTCCAGAGGCCACCCTGCCATGCCAGCCTGGCTGCTCAAGTGGTCCTCACAAGGAGAAGCAACCAACTTCTTAAATGACTTTCCTTGGCAGAAGAGTGACCTGAGCACCCCAGCAGAAGACAGAAGCTTCCCAGTCAGCAGCCTGCATGGATGTGATAAAGTGTGTGACTGTATTAACTTGACACCAAGCCAAAGCCCCTGGAGCTCCAGGGACCTGCACAAAGCAATAAGGAAATTGAATTAAAATCTGAACTAGCTCCCATAAAAACAGATTTTTGTTCCAAGCATACGCCTGTCTGGTGAAGGACCTTGGGCAAGGCAGGAGATTGATGTGTCCAACTGTGTTAAATTTGTTAAAATCCATGCAGAAACAGTAACATAATTTTTTAGCTGCGACAGTCTGAGGATATAGGCCAGCTTTGTGGGGAAAGCCAGTAATTTTTAGGAAACCCATATAGCTAGAAAGAATAGACAAGCCCTGCAAACTTGAAGAAGGATCTACAAGCATTTGGGCATTTTCCATTTCAATTGTACTTGGCATATGAACCTCATATGAATCTGGCTTTGCTTAAAAGCAGTGACATTATTCGGGATAATAAAAATCAAAGGTCATCACAGCATTGAGGCATTTGGGGTGTGAAGGTGAGGCTGATCTATGAAACCTAGACCCTCTGGACAGGAGAAGCAATGGTTGAGTCAGAGATATAATTTTCAGAAAATTAACCATGTAGATTGGCCATTTCTTCTCAGTTGCCCTTCCTGGATTTGCAACAGAGTTCAAGGAGAAATAATAATAGTAATTGTCATCATCATCTAGTAACCATACAGGATAGTACTCAAGGGAGAACTTTCTAAAAGATATTTACTGAAAGATGATTTTCTAATTCTTTATTTTCCACAATCACATCCTCTATATCTACATTATTAACTACATTCAGAACAGACATGAAAGATAATACTACAATTTACTTAGTAGTGAGAATCATTTATAAAAGGGCAAAAAGAAAAGGATTTAAATAAATTATAAATAACCTCCAAGAAAAGAATCAATCAGTCTTGGCTACAGACTTGCCAAGGGAAAGCATCTGATACACCCACAGACGTTAATGGAGTGGTATGCAGACAATCAAGGACAAAAACTGACCCTCAAGGCCAAATTTATTATCAAGGAAAGATCTGTTTTGATGATCAAAATAAATGAAATCCTTAGAGATGTGTATCCAGAGTCCTAAAGAAACATTTGCACCTACATTTGTGCTATTACAAGGAAACTTCAAACTTCTGTGTTTTAGACACTCATAAAAAGTGTTCAGAATAGCATCGCCTTTAGCATGAATGTTTATAGTGATGACAGAGAGATGATAGTTTTTTCCCCTTTCCCTTTCTAGCCTTGGTATGAAGGTTGAACTGGCCCACTTTAATCCCTGCTTTCAGGAATCAAGGCAAGTCACAGCACATAATATCTTTCTTGCCATTGGGAGACTTATTGCAGTGTACTGTGAAAAATAAGCAGGGCAGTGAGGTTAGAAAACCGACTTGAAAATGTTGCAGGTACACTCCCACTTCCAAAAGCTTCAGCAGCAAAGGGACACAAGGTGCTATTATGTACCTTTGAGCTGCTTCCGACCTTTGGCCAGAGCATTCATCCACTTCAGAACTTCAGGATTGGAAGTCTTGTCACCATGCGAAGGCTGAACGCAAAGGAAAATGTAAAGAATGGAAAGAAAGAGAAGGAACTTACAGTTAAAGGATCAAACAGATAAAACCCTCCCCACCCCCAGTGTGCTACAAAATGTCCGTAGTTCTGACTGCACTCTCTCGGTGTCATGCAGAGCATCTGGCTTGATCATGGCATTAATTTGTCATGGCTTATCTCTCCCCAGTGTGATACAGTGCCACAATGATCTGAGTGTTATGTGTCTGATCCCAAAAAAAAACACAGCAACAACGTTTCAGTTCCTGACTATTTGGATAAATAACCTTGGTTATTTATTCAATCAAAAGGATTGATCAAATAACTAATTTTAGTCAAGTTCCTAAGTGATTTCCAGGATGGTAACTGAAGATCTCCATCCCTTGCAGGAATAAGCTCTTGCTTTAAGACAGGGATTCTTTAGGGAAACAGCATTTTCAAAATTTCAACTGACCTGCTTAATTAATCAAATGAAAAATCCTGTGGAAGAGTGATTTCAAAAGAAGCAAACAACAAAGGCTTTGTAGATCAGGGGTTATTTTTCATTTAGAAATTGCCTGCAAATTAAAGTCAATTTACACTGAATCTTCAAAACTCAGATATTTAAAACTGAAAAACAAAATAAAGCTTCTGAAATAATTTTTTTTCTGGCCATAGTGTGAGGGTTGTTTAGGTATGAAATTGTGCTCCTAGGAGTACATGATGACCACAGAGCCAAACAGTGCATAAGTTTAAGGTTTTGGCCATTAATGGGATTAAAAGGTAATATATCATTTGCTTAATTTTAATACAGTCAAAAAAATGTCACAAACTTCCCTGTTTCATGATGTACACCTCCTTAGCATGAGGCATGTTTTGATATTCTTATACTGCACAATTCCCAGCACAGTGCTCACCAATGACCTCAAAAAACCCCCACAAGTTTTATTTCTCTGATTTTTGCCATCAGCTTCTACTGAGCCCCAGGCTTTGGAGGTTTATAGGAGTCTGCCTGAATGAAGGAATCTGCACAGAAGAACAAGTTTCCAGGCAAATGACTCCTACAAATTGAATAAGTAGCTTTTCACCTTTTGCACCATTTTGTTTCACAGACCTGTCAGTTGTGTTTCACTGATTCACACTTCTCAAAGATGGATATTTTGCAACAAATGTAATCCAAAGAAAATGTAGACTGCATACACTGAAATGTACTGTATACATTGAAAAATGCCAAAAAGATATTCATGGAAGTTTTTCCTATTTCTTTTTACCAGAAATACCCCATCTCACATTGTTTTGATTAAGTTTAAATACACTAGAGTCCTTGCCTCCCTTTTGGAGTGTTTACTTTTTCAATTATTGTCTTACCAGGTATTTCTTTTCTTGCTCAAACTTTTCTTCATACTTCCTAATTTTTCTCTTGAGGCTCTGAAGATGCTTGGTAAGTTGTGTTACTGTCTGTGGCTCTTTGCAGTCTTCACAGCTACACCTAGAAGAACTTCTTGGCCTGCAAAAGCCAAAAGCAGAGTTGTGGGATCTAAGAGCTGGCTACAATGGACCATGCTGTTTTCAGGAACACTTAGCATTTCAGAATTCATGGCTATTCTATTCTTTCACTGGATAAAGACTGCTTAGTTTTACAAAGTAAACATAAAATAATTGCTTTTGCTTGAAGGTACCCCTAGGGTATTCTAATGGGTTCACCATCTGTCTTTCATTCTCTCTTTTTTTTTTTACTTAATTGTGGGATTTCTGACTATATTTAAAAAAAATTAATCTAGTAGGCAAAAGCCTGATCCAGTATTTACATTTAACACCCACACCTTTATTCACAAATCTTCCAAGTATAACAGGAGACTGTGTTGACATGATTTGTAAAAGTAATCTCAGTAAAACTCAGGGAGTTTTTCATTACTGGAAATAAACATTTTAATTTTGAAGACAGTTTAGTTTCTGATTATTCACAGTTGCAAATCAATAGAGCTGATTATTATCCATATGCAGCTGAAGCTAAAGCTCTTTATATAAGCTTTTAAGAAAATTTGATTTCTCTCTGAAACTCATAGCTTGGTTTCTGGAAAACACATATATGGACTGTATGCTTTATGACACTATCACCCCTCATCAGTGACTCAAGCTATAGTTCAATTACAGCTGAATTTTTAGTATTATACCTAGATAGTCCTCTCTATCCTGTGTTTACTCATCATTCTAATTACTAACATTTAAAACTGTCCTTGCTTAATATAATTAACAAAAACTTCAAAAATTACTGTTATATTGTTGTGACTGAGGAAAAACTAGTTTCTATTTCTAGTGTTGCAAATTATCTGTGTCAAAATATGCCACAATACAAAAATTTGCGTTTTATGACATAGCAACAACTGAAAAAACGCCATGAAGAGTCAAAGGTTGTGAATTGCAGAAAAAGGCTTAAAAATACATAAGAATTAAAATAGATTTTCTTACATCATGAAAGGTTGAGCACTTGGTGGAGAAGGGGCAGACTCTGTGTCTAGATTAAATCTCTGACTTTGGCTAAATATAGAGCAGCGTGGTGACAAGAGAGGATTGTCTCCATCTGTGATGTGATACAGCAGTCGGCTGGTCCCGAGGGAGTGATGTTCCTGTGGGCTGCTCTCCATGTCATTCTGCCAGTCCCTGTGGGCTGGCACAGGCTCTAGAAGGAAAGTATAAATCAGAGTGGACTGAAGGTCACTCACATGGGGTTGAGTTACCTAGGTCAATAAAAATTTGTCCTTACATAAGTATTCCAAGCATAAGTATTCAAAGTGAACAGCAAACAGATCAACAGTGTTGCATGCAGGGTGGACACCGCACTGAGGATGAGAAAATAGAAGTACTGTCACTGGCTTTGCATAAAGGAGGAGGTGGATGGGTGTATTTATAATCTATGAAGTGAAGATGGAGAGTTTCCCAGAACAGAAACATTACTTGTATTTTCATAGATCTGTTTGCTTTTGAAAGCCACAATCCTGAAGAAGACAATGAGTGTCCACAATAAGTTTAATTTTGTGATTCATCATTTACTCCCTTGGTGAAGAGAGAGGAAGGTCAAAAATATAATATGTCCTAGTGATAAGAACCTCCAGGTCTGCTTGCAGGATTTTGTTTTGTAACAACATTCCCTTGGCTCAAAGAGCACAAGATATGAAAATAAGAACCCCCATCAAGAACATTCAATTTATTTACTCAAGGTCATGGGCAGTGGCGGCTCCTTGGAGGAGTCATGCTTGTGGTATTGTGTTAACAATGTTTTGGACTGTAAATGCAAACCTCACCACAGGTGTCTTATAAGGTAAAATTTATTTTATAGTGATGGTCAGCCTAGAGAAAGTAGGAACCTCATCACACTGGTTCTGTTTATGGGTAGCATGAAAAATAATGGCCCATTACAGGGCCTGCTTAGGGAACATCAAGGGCTCATCTTCACTGTACTCTACCTTAGTACACTGAAGGGAATATTCATTGAATCTTCTTCCTCACCCTCAATAGTTGAAATGGATGAGGATGATCTAACTTAATCAATATTTTTGCTGTCAGATGATTGGGATTTAATGTAGATTATACCTTCTAGTATAATTATGGATTAGGAACTCAACAATCTCATAAAAGTTCTTGCCCAAAATTTTTCTCGCTTGCTTTTCTAAAGCAAAGTTTGTGCTCCCAGGTTCCCCTACAGCAGTTTCCACAGTACATTATATTTTACACCAGCTATATTATTTTTTTTTTCCTAAATCCATTCATATATACAGCTTTTTAGTTCATATCTATTATTTTGTATTTCCAGGCAGCATGTGTCAATTCTAATCAGTATTATATTTGCCATATGTCATGCATTCTAATACATTTCACAGAATCATTTTATTCAACAGAAGTCTGAAACTGCACAGAAGAACAACTGTACATACATATACTCACAGAAGAACTGGCAGGTTTAGGTAAGTTCTTTTACCTTCGCTTTCAGTTTTCTGCTTTGCACATGGGACATCACATTCCCATGCTAAGTCCTTTTCCAGGATTTGAATGGAAACTTTGTAGAGCATTTTTTCTGCCCTCTTTCACGACAAATATCAAAACTGTAAATCCCTATTGCTGCACTGTGATAGTGCTGAAAAACCAGCTCTGAATGACACCCTTAAAAAAAATCCCCATATTTCTCTAAAAAATAGTAGTTATGATGGCTTAAATATAATTCTATTGGGCACTATCCAACTGCTTTCTCTTTACAGACAAAACATTCTATTGTATGTTGTACATCAGTTTAGTCTGTCAAGCAAAAGTTACACATGACACTTGTATTTATAAGCTCATCTACTCTTATCATCAATTATAATTAGGTTAAGCATTTTCACAATGAGACAATGTACTTGATTATTAATTCTAACCTTGCATCCTTCCTCTAAGTACTTCATACTCTGTAGGTCAAATTCAGCTCTCCAAGATAACAGAGCAACACCCAAATCTCCTAAATCTTGTAAGAGATTCAAATCTTCCCACAGAGAGATCTCCCAGGAAGGCACCCGGGAGAAGCGGGGATAGAGCACTGAACAGTCCTGGGAAATCACGGACACTGACAACAGACAGTGACAATGGCTGAAATAATTGGTGTTCTACAAACAAAAGTGTTCTCTCTTTTTGGAAAGTACTCTTTCCTAACCTTTTAATATTTTTAAAATTAATATCTTTGGTTCGGTTTTGACCTGTTGTTGTTGCTGGGTTGTTTTATTTCTGAAGAATAGTGTTTTCAGTGAGAAGAACCTGGCTTCCCTTGCTTTAATTTCACCATCTTTGAACTTCAAGAAACACATAAGCACTGTGAAATAGGCTGACTAAGAACTGTTGTGCAGTTTTTCATGTTCTGTTTTTACAAGGAATAAATTGTCTTATATTAAGTAGCAGTGCCCTCACCATGAAAGGCAAATGATGTGATAAAAAGATCAGCCAGTCTGCGTGTGATACCTGAAGGAAATAACTTTCCAACATTTGAACTCTGATTTCCTATGGACCTAAAAATGTCCTCCTTTTAGGAGACAGCCTATACCACTGATAAACCACACGGTCACAGATATTTGCTCCTCCTCACATCTACAACCAGACATTTTTATAGGCTCAACCCAGTCTCAGAAATGGAAGAAATGCAGATGTTCAAGACTAATCACTCTTGGAAGATAAATGCAAAGGACAAGTAGTGGCTGGTGCAGCTCCGGTGTAAAACCAAACACACAAAGTTCAAGAAGGTTCTTTTATTCTGCTAGCAAACAAAAGGGAGACAACCTGCATGCTTTATAATTTGGGAATATTTCCCAAAGGGAACTATTCCCAGGGCACTTTCATTTCCCTGGCCTTCTGACAGCAAGGTCTGCAAGGCTTAAACCCTGGTTCAACTTTGCTATGGCCCAAGAAAGGGTTTAGCTGCAACTTTACTAGAAGTGCATTTAATACCACCAAATAGTCAGAAGTGGTCAGCAAATAATTCAGACTGATTCATTTCAGTGGCACAACTACTAAAATAGCGAGACACCTCAGGGTGATTGTGGTGGCCAGGCCAGGTCCATTGGTCTGACTTGGGATGCCACAACTTTCCCAGAGAGAGTGGTCCCACAAGAGACAGCCTTCCGGGGGCCTCTGGTGATCCCTGAGTACCCTGTAACCTCAGCAAAGGGCAGCCTGCAACTGCAAGTGATTACAGCTCAGTGATTTCAGCTCTGCTTGCTAGGTTATCCCAGGCTGACTCAGAGATAGAGAAACAGGAGCGTCGTGTGGCAATTCCACAGAGACGGCCTTTATTATCCAGCAGTTCAGTATCCCTCCTGAACTGGGCAGAAGCTGGGGTTTTTATGGGGGAAAGCCAGGGTGGTACCAGAGGGGAAAACCAATGGGTTACAAAGGATCAACATAGTCACCAAGCATGGTGGGATACCTCACCATGACAAGGGAGGATGGTCCCATCTAAGGGGTATCTCTCCAGGAGAAGGTTGAGATAAGCTTATCACAGCTCCCTCAGGGCACATTTCTCTGGGGGAAAGCCTTGGCAGGCTGACCTGCCTCCACAGGTGATGACAAGTTCTAAGCAAGCCCATCTTTAATTAACACTTAAGGCCATCGTCCTGATTCCAGCTCTGTGTAGATCCCAAACAAGACACTAAATATAACATACTAATAAATATAAATATACTAAGAGTAGCCCATGAACTGACCAAGATTCTACCTGTCTTCATGTACTTCATCTAATTTTAGTCTCTATTTTTGCCAAAACTGGGAATTAAAGCCACCTCTACCCAAGCCGCTGAGTTTCCCCTTAACGTCTACTCCATGCAGCTCAGCACTGACAGGAGAACACCACAGGAATTAAAACCAAATTCTAGTGTCTGATAATCTGCAGCATGGTTCAGCAGGTGGACTTCATATGACAAGTCCTATGGTACAAGTCTGTATTTATGCCCGTGATATTCTTCAAGAAAAAACAGTAACACACAGAAGTCTCTTGTACAGAAAAAATAATATTCAGATGTAGTGTGTTCAGTCCTAAACACATTACATCTGTGAATGCTTCTATCTGGATTTTTTAATTCAAAAGTAATTTAGAACTTCCTGTAGTTAGGTTCAGCTGCTCACTGCTGCAGGCACATATTTGATGAAATCTCATAACCAAAAGTTACAGAAATTACACCCTACTTTTCTATAATTACCCCTTTAAAAAACTAGCCCCTTACAATTCTTTACAGGCTCACTTCGGCAACTCTCAGCTTTCACATATTCAAAAGTAAACTGGAAATCACAGACTTTGCTCAAAGATAAATTACTGTTCATCCCCTTAAAATTTGCCTCCTGGAGTACCCTGTCATCTTACTAGACTATTGTATCTTCATTCTTTTCTAAAATTTGTTCACTGGGATGTGAATGAAAGGATCATGTTTATTTTGCCTGATCCACCGAGGAAAGGCTGATAACTAAAGATGGAACACATATGGCACACCCTCTAGAAACTCTCTTCCCAGCCTGGTACAAATCCCTGGACTTCCAGCCAAGGTGGAGTTCAAATAGCCAATAGTCCCATGTGACAGCTCAATGCATCAGAAGATTCCAGTAGTAATTTAAGAGACAGAATTAGGACCAACTCTGTCTGTGCAAAATGGCAAGTTACTAAAAATGCCACAAACCACAAAGCAGATGTTAACAGAAATGACGGCACATTAAAACCCATTAAATAAATAAGCTTTAACTAAGGCACAAGTTTGGACTGCTGGAGTGGCAGAGCATGCTCTGAAACTGTGCAAGAGAAATGCTACATCATGCAACATTTCCCCATGTGGCTGCAGAGGGGAAATGGGAGTAGAGAGGGGTTTGGAAGCAGCGGTCACTAGCAGCATAAATAAAAAGAAAATCTAATCAAAACAGCAGAAAATAATTGAGGGGAACAATTAGGAACCATCCTAACAACGAACTATGAAACCACCAGAGAAAAATAATGCAGCAAACTACTGGGAAAGGAAGAAAACTCCACCCTGCCACAAATGAAAGGAGTCAGTGCTGATTTTGGGTGAGCTGCAGAATGTCTTTTCCTATACAGCACACAAATGAGACCTGTCTCTGCTTCAGACCCCCACCAGATTAGCCCCAGTACAGGCTCCATACCTGTATCCAAGAGCTATTAAGGTATTTGCCTGTATGGACTAAAGCATCCCCTTTTTTAAAATAAAACCCAGGACATCTAGCATTTTTAGATTCCTTCATTTTTATAATAATTTTATTTCTACATACTTTGTTCCTTTATTTTTCCAATACCAGCTTCAAACTTTGGAATTTTTTAAGTAGAATACTATCATTATTTGTGATTTGCTTTTTGTAAATAACTTAATGTTATTTCTTGCTGAAAATGCTGAGCAAGCAGCTCCTAAACTAAGTTCTTCTGAACCCATATTTTTTTCTGATATGAAACATCAGTTGCAAAGGGATTACTGACCTACGTGCCTTAATTTGAACCATACGCAGTGCACGACTTAGGTATTTGTGTATTCATGTCACTTGTCTGTGAGATGTATTAGTCATACTGCCTTTGACCTATTTTTCACGAGCAGTGACTCCTCTTCTATTAAGCATCACGACTCTGCCAGCCCTGTGACTACAAGCCATGAATTAACAAAAATAGTGCTGAGCCTTAGGGCTATTTAGCTCCCTATTGAGGGAAGAGGGAGAGATAACAAACCACAGTTTGCCCAGCTGGGTAATAATACAAGATCATGAATGATTAAAATCCACATGCTGTAAAACTCACCTTCGCTATCTCTCTGCTGATGCATTAAATTAAAATCAATAATAGGAGAAATGAAGTGATATTGCTCTGACAAAAAGAATGACAAAAATAGAATTACATGATATGGCAGGTGATCTCACACAATACAGACATAGGAAGTAAAGAGAGCAAATTTACTTGGGGAAAAATAACTGATTAAAACTAAAAATAAAATAATTGGGATTCTTAAAACGTCTCTGAAAATTCCCTCTCAGAAAACCAGAGGGTTACAGTCATTAATTTCCATTCTTTTAACGGGTATCACCCCTTTCTACGTAACACAGCGTTTGCAGGAGGAAACGGTGCTTTGCATTAGCTCTGCACTGTTTCCCAGAGGGCTGGAAGCCTGATTTTAAAGTGCAAGTCACAAGGCTTTTTTATAATTGCAAATGAGAACACATCATGGCACGCTCTCTTACCTCCACAACTGGCCCCATCAGCTTGCACACTGCTTTGCGCTGGAGAAGGGGCTGTGTCCTTGGGTGCCGGCAACTGGGGAGTTTCCTCCTGGGCTGGCAGAAACGCAGAGCACAAATCAGTTTCCAGGGCTTGCAGCTTCAACAAAGAATTCTGCAGACAAAAGCAGAACATTGGGCTGGGTAGAGAACAACAGGGATCAGCAATTGCTCTTCAACTCCATGAGCCCATCGGCAGCGCCTGCACAGGGGTGTTCCACTGCCAGCTCCGGGGGGACGTGGGGAGAACAAACACGCACTATTCCACCAGTGTCTTGGCTCCTGGTTATTTAAGTCCCAATTTACATGGATTATTCACGGCACGTGGGAAAGATGACTTTGTCAGCAAAAGGCGATTTATTCCAGGAAGCCAAACTGAGATGGTGTCCCTCTTCTTGGGCTTGAAGCAATACATTAAGGAAGTATTTCATTCATTGGGCTGACATCACAATCTGATGACATTATGTCCCTCCCCATTTACCATTCATAAAATATCAAATCTCACTCTCCAGCCTGTGACTGCAGTACACAGCGGTGAACAAAGAGTTACTGAGAATACGCTCACTCATGGGATTCTTGGGAGAGAGATTTTTTTAATTGGCTGTTTTAGAGATACTTCATTATGTAGACATGGCTTTTATGTGGGCTGCTGCCGGTTCTACAGGGCAGTGGATAATTTGTGATCCGCTGCAAAGGTAAAATCAACACATCATTGTCACTGACTGCAGGCAAATCAATGACGGGGACAGTTATCTGCCACATCACTTCCAACCTCTGTGCCATGCGTGCTCCAGCTCTGATTTGAATTTTTAATGCTGCACGCAGTACTGAGCTGCACGATCTGACACAAGCATCTGGCTGTGATGGAAATGCTATGAAAGCCCTAATCACCACCTGACTGGGCAAAATGAGTCACTCCCCACACCCCACTCATTCAGCCCCCCATCTCAAGGGAAATACTGCTTAAAGCATAAAACAAAACCACATAAGGCTGTCCTAATAACCACACAGCTGTCACACACAGAATGTACATATAACATTAAGTGGCTCAAGTAATACATATTTATGAAGGGCATTTTCTGAAGAAAATAATCTGAGTTGCTAAGAAAAAAAATTCCTCAAGTTGATAACTCCTTTCCCCAGTCTGTCAAATACCTGAAACCAATTTATTGATTCATTTAATGAAAAATGAATTGATTCATTGGCCTGATTTCCTTTGTGTGAAAATAAATCACCTATGTAATTGACAGTTTAATATATCTTTGAATTATTTTTGTTGTAAGGCATCCCTTTTGTAAAACCAAAGACAACTTTAGATATTAAAAAAAAATGAAACTAGGTTGTCTGAGAAGAGCAGGGAAGATTTTCTGCCTTTATCCTTTCATTCCTTTTATAGAATTCAAGATAATGATGGAAACCATCTTGGCCCTAAAAGCTTTCAGGTGGCAGTACATTTCCTTGTCAAGGGAAGGGTGCTGACTTGCATCACACATGTGACACTGTTTTGGGAAGCCCTCATATCCCATTGTCTCTCATCCCAACTAAACCCAAATGAAGTGGCTGTGGAATTATCACAAACAGGCAGAATTTTACAGTCATTAGTGTCATCTAGCAAGAGATGACTACACCAGTTACAAAACAGGGAGGACTCTGATCCCAGCCTGGACTTTATCAGGAGAACAGCTGATTAAAATTAGGGAGAACACAGATGACAACCCATAAGAATGTGACAATAAGGAAACATAAGTAAATGTCTGACAAAAGGACTTATCCTTCATGGACTGTTATTTCAAGCATTTGGCAAGAAAAATCCCATTTCAAGAAAATACATTCACTTTGCATCACTATTCCTTATGACACATTAACATTTATGTGAAGCTCAGTGTGAAAACATTTTCACAGACTACATTGTTAAATACCGTACTTCAACTTATGCTGTACAATTCTTATGCTGTAATTCACCAGCTGGTTCATATTCAGTTGCTCTAAGTGATATTTTTCACCCATCTGGGGAATGTGGGTGGATGGCAAATTCCCAGCCACTGCCGAAACATTGAAAATAAATCATATAACAATAACAGAAATACCTTAACTATTTTAATGAGTGTGCCCTTGACAGGGATTTGAGAAAAACACTAAGTAGCTTTGATCATCTTGATATTATCAGGGAGATAATGAATCTGGAGTGTACCACCAACTCCATCTTACTCCTAAACCACAGCAGAGTGTTATGGCACTGCCACACTGCACTATCCAGGAAAAGTCACCACAAATTTACAGGAAATGTGGCAGGAGACACAGCTTAGAGTAAAGGTGAAGCACAAAGGCCAGCACATCTGCTCTGGGGGTGAGAACCAGCCTGTGCACATGCTGCTCACTGCTCTCCTATGGCCAGACCTGACCCCGGCACCTGCCTGGGCCACCTCTGCTCATGGCTGGTCAGAGGAACTTGCTAAACACGTTAGAAGCCAAACAAACAACTCTGCAAACAGCTGAAACACACCAAGGGAAAAGTTAGGACATGGTGGGCACCATCATCAGTTTGAGAAAGCCCCTACATGGAAACCCAGTATAACTGAAGTAATTTAAGCTATGGTGTTCTGTATCAGCTAAGATCTCAGTTCAAATGCTTTAGATTTGGTACTCATTACAGCTTCACTCTGATGCCTAGCATGAGTGTTTCTGAGGCAGTAATTCCTGATCCATGCTAATGCAAATGAAAGGACATATCAATATCTCAAATGGATCCATGAATTGCCTTGGAAAAATAACCATATTGTTTTCTCTTAAGAAGAGTATCCTGAAAGTTTGAAAAAGAAGCAATTATAATTGTCTTGGACAAAGGTTTCTTATCTCTTATGTCCTCTTAAAGTAACTGACAGTTCAAAGATCTTGAGCTAAGTCAAAAACACTGTACATTATTACAAATAATGGTAAAATGAATAGGAAGGCAGAGAAAGACAGGAAGAGAAACAGTGTGGTCCTTCTCACCCATTTGTTATTTTTGATAATACTTTAAGAAAATACAGTCACTGAAGTGTCATTGCCTTGTCTGCTGGGAGAAAGCACAGTACAGAAGGACTGCCACTCTCAGAGGAAGCTCAGTCTGTAGTAGAGACACCTTTTCTACAAATAACTAAGTCTGGACCCACTGACCATCACTCCTTCCAACCAGTGATTATTGAAAATGAAGAGGGGAGGCCTTAGGGCAAGGAATTATTGAGATAACAGATAATCTCTTACATCTAGAGATGAATGCCACACACCGTTAAATCCGTCTGGAGAATGGGACACTGAAAGAACAAATTCTCCCAGTTCATCACCAAAATGCTGTGGCACTGAGATGCAGTACCCTAACATGGCATGGGGCCATGCCCAGCAGGGTCAGCACTGTGGGATGTGTTGGTCAGCATGTTCAGGAGGCCAGAGCCTGACAGGAGACAATGTGACAAATGAGAGCCCCTGCCCTTTGAAAGAATTTCCCTGATAAACCATTACATCCTTTCTTTCATCCCTGTGGACACCCAAAGGTTTAATAAATTTAAGAACCGAGGGAAAGGGAAAGGACCCAGGTGTGCCCCAGCCATTAGCTCTGCTGAGACTCAGTCAGGAGGCTGACAGCAGGGATGAGGAGCAAAGCCCAGACTTGGTGTTTTCTGCATAAACTGATATCACCCTGATCCACACACGGTGTTCCTGAATGAAAAGGATGCCTGCACCCTGCCCTCAGGCCTGCTCCTGTGCCTATTCTATTATAGGAAGGCAGCTATTCTATTATATCCAGTTTATTGATGGATTTACTGGATTTATGAAATCAGCTGGGGCAGAGAAGGAGAATAATCCAAGCTTTCAGCATTTAATAGCCTTTGAAGTGACTCATATTGGAAAGAAACTGAGCAAATTTCAACCTGCTCAGTTTTTTCACTCTAAGGAAATTAATGCTTTTATATGTCACACTGAAACAGCTTTTTAATCTGGGAATTCAGGTAAAATAAGATAGGCACATTTTATGTGAACATAAATAAATCTCTGCAGTATCCGTTAAGGCAATATTTGTGCCTTGAGGCATATGACATTTTCCATTCAGAACTTCCTTTATGGGGAACAAACAAGCAACAATAAGATAGAACAAGATATGCCCTGGGTCTGTATAATGCCATGGGTGAGCAGTGAAGAGAGACACCATTTTCTCTACTCCAGAAAGAGAATTTATTTTCTCATGGCACAGGTCCATTTGGGTTTGCAATAGACCTGAGACACACAAAACCCTAAGATTTTACAAAAGAAAGCATCAGGTTGTAACCTCTGCTCATTCCTCATTGGATATTATCAATTTATTTTTAATTTCTAATCTAATAATTTGTTTTAATATTTTGCACTGATTTATTTATTACAATATTTTTTTCTTAGCCTTTAAGGAATCCTTTGAGAGGATTTTAAATGGAAGCTTTCAAGTGCAAGCTTCAGTGAATACTTGCATTGGGGCTTCTCAAAAGAAGCAATAATTTCATGATTTCTCCCAGGGCCTGAGGTGGCTTGACAGAGGCTGAATGTACTCCCTTGTATTGATCACTGAATGTACCCTGCTTGTCAGCACTGAGATTTTCTACAGTTAGCTGCACAACAGTGACACAAAATGCAGAGGAAACAATTCACTGCAAGAAGATTAGGTCTGAATTCCTTTAAAAGGACACATTGTGGTCTTCCCCTAATCAAAGTCATGCATCAATTAATAGACATAGATGTTCTCTGGCTCATTACGGAAACAAAGCTTTCTTTTCCAGAGTTATTTAGGAATGGGCTTCTCTTCACCCAGCTCTCTTCTCCCACTGCTTCTGTGGTGTTGTCTTGGCTTACACTGAAACCCATCTGCTCCCTGTGGAAGTCCTGTGTTCTCCAGTGTCCTTGCAGTGAGAGTGGCCTCTGTGCTGGGGTGCAGTGTCCCCAGGTGTGGAGAGATGGTTTCCTGTTTTCTATAACTGCAAAGCTTGGCTTCACCCCCTTGCCCCTCCCAGGATATTGCTGACTGTGAGGACCTCACCCAGGCTCATCCATTGCTGGACACGATCACACAAACAGCTTTTTTGTTCTTTGCTCACACTGCGCTCCTGGCATAATCCCTGTGAAAGCAGCTTGTTTCAAGTGTCACTGGGGTTATTTGGCTTTCATTGCTTCCCCTCTTCTGCTCTCCCCTACTTCCATCTTACAACCAGAGCATCTTTTAGACTCCATTGTGCTGTTCATAGTTTATTTAGGCAGGATGTAGCAAAGTTGAAAACTCCTTATTTTTAAACAAAACATATTTAACAGATGAACCATTTTGAGCTGTAATATGAGGGAAAAATCAAACATTCTTGAAAGACGTCACTTCACTCAGTCAGTATTGTTTGATTCTTTTCTGAGCATAAACAAAAAACAACTTAAAGTTTGCTTTAAAAAATTCTACAACCTTTTGCTTCTAGCTTTTCAACTATTTTATCAGTCTCATATCTCACTTTTAAGCTTTTCTTCAAAAACATGACTGCAATGATTCATTAAAAAGCTAACCTAGGATTATTAAGCAATTACACTATTCCAAGACTTTAAAATTAACAGAAAAACCCAAAACACCTATTCAAAATTTATACCATGACATTTCAACTTTTGGTTACACTTACCTCATTTAAGCTGTTAAATTGATCAGTTGCTTCTTTTGGTGAAATGCTTGTGTTCTGATCTATTCTACAAAACAAAATTTTAAAAAATCATTCAGTAGACTGCCTGTCTGTGCTGCAAATATGTAGCTTTTTCTCATGTGTGTATATAATTTATAAATTACAGAGTAAGTTTGTTTTATTTAAAAAATAGCATTTCTATGAAAATAGCATCTCTATTTTTTAACTCATTCAAAACAACAGTGATTTTACTGGAATCCTAAATAATACATTTAAACTGTTAATGAAGTCCTGGAAACTATGACATTAATATCTGGGTTCATTCTGTCATGTCAGAAAGTTCTACAGATGTATGACATCTGTCTTGATGAGCTAAAAGGGTTAAAGCCAAGAAAATCTCAAACATGTTCTTAAATCTAAGCACAATTTGTCCCACATGCTTTAAACTGGGAACAAGAGATTTCCCATATCACAGCCATAAAGAATAAATTTTCCATATTTAAATCTGATGGCATTTCATGCTCCCAATCTTCAGCTTTCTGCTTTTGCAAATTTCAGAAAGGCCCCAGGCTCCTGGAAATCCTCTAAGAGAAATGCCCACGTTTTCTAGTGAGTGTCCCTTTGCTGCCATCAGAGATGTCCACACCTTTGGTTTTCTCTCAGTGTATTGCTGCTTCTCCACATGGGAAGAGGAAAGGAAGGCCCTGCATTAGTGAGGGGCAAATCTCTTCCCCCTGCCTGTGGCCACTGAGGAGCTGTGCCCCATCCAGGCAGACAGGGCCCACACAGCTCCCAGTATCAGGGTTAGGTACTAATTCACTACACCAAGGAAGGAAACCAAAGGCCAAAAATATCTGCCCGCAGATTGAGCAAGCAACCCCAGCAGCCTCCCACCACCACTCTGTCCATCCCCAAAACAAGCTGAGGCTTTTCACATGTGATTTCAGAGCCTGACGTGGCTGTACCACAAGCTGACTTTTGACTCAGGGGAAGAAAGAAAACTGTCTCAGAGAATGCGGTATGTCAGTGCTGAAAAGGTGGTGATGTCTGCTGGCCCCCAGAGACTCACTCAGAGATGTGATCAAACCCAACACAAAACCCATATTCCTTTGCACAAAATAATTTGTATTTTTCTGGACTCAGAGTCATCCCAGCAAAAAGAAATGGCTGTAAAAGCCTCTAGAGACCTCAAAATCAGAACAGAGAGATGCAGAGCTGTTTGTTGTAGCTCTTCCTGGATTTGGGAGGTGTTTCAAGACTAAAAAGATGGCTATACCACTTCTCTCAACAAACTAGACACAGTAGGTAGCTACACCAGGGTGAACCAACCGTTTGGCCCAAAACAGAATCCAAGATGTACAATTCCCATAGGAACAGAAATGAGTCATGAGAACAGCAAAAGGACTAACTTAATAGGAAAGTGAAATATTTGTAGTTTGCTTTAATAACATGTAAGGAGGCAGCTGCAAGGCTAAAAACAGCTGAAGAACTAATTCACTAATGAAGAAAAAATATTTAGGGTGATTCATTGCATTGAACTAGAGTTACACATGAAGAAAAGGATGAAAACTGTATGTGTTAGATATGTACACTTCTGGTAGTCATTTTGCACTCCTTCAAGGTGCATAAAAGAGCAAATGGGAGCTTTCCCTAGTAAAATAAAAACAAAACAAATTTAAAAAAAAAAAATAGAAACAAACAGTAAATGCTAGCAGAACTTTGTACAGGAACTGTACAAAGTTCTACGTCATTCACAGCTGTATCACTCATGAGTCTTGCACCCTGGAGTGTAAAAGGTTTACGGCAGCCATGAAGTACCACCTCTTTCATTCAGCTTGATGTTCTTGCCAGATGTTTTAGGATTCCTTTAATCTTTCATTTTACTGCTCCTTTTACACTAGAAATGCTGGAGTAAGATGCTCTTACTTATGCATTCTTTGGATTCTTTGGAGATGCTGAAATCATTAAGGTGAGTAACCATTTTTGTGTGATGAGCATTTGCATTTTCAGTCTCATGTGCTGAGCTGATCTTAATCTACAAAGAGAGTTTTGGGGTGTGCTTTTTAATTTTCACCAAGATTAATTGCTCTGCTAGGCAAATGCAGTTTTTTTGATTGTCACCAGGCAACACAGGGCTTACAATTTAATAACTATAGTTTGGATCCTACTCTCATTAAAAGTCAATCACAAAATATCCATTAACTTCAAAAGCAGCAGGAACAAGCCCTACTTTTCTATCTGTGATGAGTACATTAAAATTATTTCAGGCCTTAGCTGAATTTTGAATAACTGCAGACACCTTTATTTTGTATAATTTACATCCTGTAAAATAATGAAAATTAAATTCTCTCTGTAGCTACTACTCAGATATATGTCTTTCACCCTCCTTTATAGACTCTGGCTTTGGCAGAATTATCCCTTTCTCCATGACAGAGATGGAAAAGATGCAATAACTAACATGTACATTTGAGGCTTGTGGCTATAACAAAAAAAACCCAAAAACAAAACAACAACAACAAAAACAAAACAAAACAAACCCCACAATCTAAATTCTAATTATCATAGCAGAGCTCCTACCAGACTTCCAGGGGAGATAAATTTGTATGAGCACTGTGCTGCTTAAAACCAGATCAGGTCATGTGAATTTTTGAATTATGCACAACATCACCTTTAAACCGGCATAAAATTCAAATAAAACCACATAATTTTAAAAGCTGGGGAAAATGTTTGAAGATAAGCTAAGCAAATCCCAACCACGTTTTCTCTGTGAAAGGAACATTACATTTTGTAACTCGCAAATCTCACTCCAGTCCAACTCTGACCACACAAACCCATCCCCAGGCTATTTATGTGTTTATGCACCACAACACCACACGTGTGCAGTATCTTGGCATTGGTGATGTCAGGGTAAGTCCTGCCCATCAACCTCACAGTATTCTGTGGGATGAAACTCCTTTTCCAGAGTCACCTTCAGTCTATCCTGCCCCAATACTCCTCCCCTGTGTCCAGTCCAAGAGCCAGTTCCACCCTTCCCACTGTGAGAGTGACCTAGAAGGTTAACAGCTCAGAAATGGAAGTCTCAGTTCCCTGTCAGGGGGCAGATGCAGCCTGTCCAGGGTTACAGCAGACCAGCTCACAGAACAGCAGAACACACAAACAGCACCCAGAAAACAGAAGGCTCCTTCCTGAGACCTTCCCAAATGGCAGAAAACATCATCAAATCCAAATGCCTCAACATGGGACTGCAGGTGGATGCTCCAAAAGCACACCTATGACTCCTTAGAAAGCAATGCAGAACAGCAACAGGCTTTGGGATGAACATAAAGTGCACACCTCAACCAAAGAAAAATCCACCTTGAAGAGCCCAAGGGCACTCCCTGGGCAGCCCCTGAGTGCTGGAACAAGAGGGCAGACAGAGAGCCAGTGCAACGGTGCCTGTCTCATTAGTCCCACCCTTTATGTAATCCAGCCAGCACTTGTTATTCTTACTATGAGCAGCTCTCGTACTCGGCAGGAACAGTCCTTACTGGGGCTGCAGCAAGAGCTGTTCTTACCTTCCTCCTCTATCCTCTCCCCACCCCCCTTTTGCTTTTTTTTCTTTAATTGCATTGCAACCCAAAAGCTTGCCCAGAGGCAAGCCTTGGTACAAGAAGTATCACTGGAACCATAAACATGGATATTTTAATACCAACCTCTCTGAAGAAATTGTTCTTAGGAACCGGTCAATAATTTCCCAACTTTTTCCCTGCTCACCTGGCTGCCTGTGCAGGTGAGGAAATGCAGCCTCTCAGGCTCTGCCTCAGCCATGCAGGTCTGCATGTGGACATCAACACTCCTGCAGCTTCCCTGCTGCCTCCCACTCATCTCTGAGTTTCTCAGCAGAAAGCCTGGAAACTGCAAGAGTTCTTACCTGAACTGCACTCTCAAAATATACCTGTTTTGCAAACTTAAGTACTGAAAGCCTTGCTAGAGCTGGGCCTCCACTCAGGGAAGCACAGAAAATCTGGGAGGTTCTGGCTTAACCCCAGGATCCAGGGCAGCCCAGGGATACCAGCATTTCCACTTCTCCTGCAGAACAATCACAGTCTGACAGCAACCGCCACCCTACAGCCTCTGCCAAAAATAGAGTTATAGAACTGCAGAATAGGGACCAGCCCTGGGACCAGATAAGCCCTGTTAAATGAAACCACTTCATTCCCAATTTATTTGGGGAATGCTGAAGAGAAGGAACTTTGAAGAACTCTCCTTCGGCAGAAAACTTCACCCCAAACTGTAGTTCTGAATTCCACACTGACTTGACATGCAGCCTTCCCTGAAGCATTGACCTTCCCACTGCCCAGGGCTGCTTTGTTTCAACATCTTCTCTCTGTTACAGGCATCTGAGGAAAGCACCAGGCTCTGCTCAGGTAACTGCATACAGCCCACTCCAGTTTTGCTGATTGTCTTTGAGAAGGCAACTGGCAGGGGCCAGTTTGTAATCCTGTGTACTGTTCCATACTGGCTTTTCTAGTCTCTGTTAAAAAAAAAAAAGGCAATTCCTTTATTGGTTCCCAGGACCTGCTTATAACTTTTATCTACCTTCTATCAAGGTGCAGATTATATTGCACTCATTTCCAAACCCAGCTGCACACAATGACCAGAGCAATATCCAGTGTAATCACTGGCAATAGTATTAGAAATTCATGTTCTGGAAAAAAGATGTAAAGGTTTCCTTCCATGCAGATGCTGTTTCATCTACTAAATTGATACTGATGTTCATAAATCATACATGATAAACACCTCCTGAGCTTGGAATCCTTGCTTCACGGGTCACGTACAGCTTAGCCAAAACCAAGATACTATTCCCTTATTCTTCTGGCTGCAAATCTCTTCAAGTCCACTCTTCCATTTCCCACAAATCCCACAAAACCTTTCCTTTATTGTTTCAGTGGTTACCACAAAATGAAAGTAAGCCCTCAAAGAAAATACACACTTCTAAGTCATAATTCCGTGGATTGTTGCTCTTACATGGCCCAGTTTGTTCTTCTCCATAACACTTCTGTTTATGAGCATCCCTTGTTAGAATATCCTAAACTTAGATTTTGCTGCTCAACAGGAACTGTACTGGAAAGTTTTTCATATTTCAGCAGTCTTTAAGCCATATTTGGACAAGTTAAAATGGTCTCTTTTTTAGGTGCCTCACACTCACCAGAACAGATTTCTTAAAAAACTCTGTAGAGTTCAGAGGTATTTAACCTTTAATCCTCAATGAGCCTAATGGGCTATAGCCCCCTGCAATTAAGTTAAAGCAGAAGTAACAACAGGATGCACTAGAAACAATTAACCTTGATCCTTCATTGAAACAAATAAATCCTTCTTCTCCCATGCTACCCCCTACACATCTGATATACAGAGAGAGGTGTATAGGGACACCCCTGCAGCAGTATGTCCCTCTCCTCTCCTCCAAAAGACCAGAGAACTTTTAGTCTGACAGGCAGGTGCAGTGTCCCAAAGCATCACTAGTTTTACCAGCAGCCCAGCAAAACCAGAGTAAGACAGTGGGTTTTGTGGTGCTGGCAGATGTTCTGTCCAAATCTAGCTATGATTGCTGCCTGATGCCAACACTGAATGTTTAGCCTCTGCATGTCCCACAGCAGACAAGGCAGAAAGCAAGGCAAGACATCATCCCCTGGCAGCAGTTTCACAGCCTGTTGCTTGAGTCAGTGCTGTGAGCCTGCTGCAGCAGCCAGAGAGCCGTGTGAGCTGACACATGGACTCTCACTGCTGTGGCCCTGCCAAGGCTGTCTGACAGCACAGGGAGGGGGCAGCTGGTGGTGACCCTCAGGAGTCACCAGACACAGCAATCCTCATACAGAAACTGGGAATTCCAGTGTAAGTAACCTGCCACAGCTGGGTGGTGGGAGTGTCATTTCAAAGACAATTAAAATAAAAGCATGCAGTGTGTGTGAGGCCAGAGACCACAGGTTAATGCTTGTTTATTTTTAAAGTTCCTTATTTGAGAATAAAGTCACCTCTTTTTTTTCCTCATGTAATCAAACTGAAAAATGACAAGAATTGGGGTCTGATCACCGTGCTTTCACAGCACTTAGAATGGTAAATCCAGGCACCATTATTTAACAAATTTATCCCTTGTGGACAGCAGACTTTCTATGCAGGTACCATGGTGTTAAACAAAAATAAATAGCATAGTGAAAAATGGTTAAAAACAGGCAGACTAAAAAGGCCGAATTGTTAAAATGGACAGGGGAACTTGGCTGCCGTTGCTGTTTTATTCATGCACTCTCCACTCTGGTTCCTAACTTTAAAGTCTGTGTCTTTCATCATGTTCCTTTCAAAATTAACCAGTTATTTTACTACCTACCCATATCCAAACATCCCACCAGCAGAGCCACTGGGTAGATCTGACTATCTGACACCACACTCAGTCAGCTCCTCTTTACATGAAGTCCATGGGATGTTTTCCTCACATAAGAATGCCAGAAAAAGAGAAGGCAGGCTTCTTGATTAGAAACACTTCATGACATGTGGTGTTTCAATTGCACATGCAAGCATTGGAGGGAAAAAGCACTTTGCTGTCCAAGCTAAGTAAATGCTTTTTCGTTCTGCTACACCTTCCTTTGAGTTCCAAATTAAGATCATTTACAGTGTTGCCTCCTAAAAGCTGTAGAGAAGGCAACCAATTCATGTCACATAGAGCACCAAAGTACCATTGGATGGCAGCTGTAACTGGCTGTCCCACTCCTGACTGCAAACAAACCTCGAGCCAGTGAGCTCTAGCTGTCAACCAGCTGTGCCCTGAGCATCCTTGTGATGGATTGGTGCTGCTTCAGACCCCCCAAAGGCAGCCAGACTCTCTGTCACAGAGCACCAAGGCTGTCATGCACATCAAGACGAGGAGCAGAGACCTGGCTCACCTGACAAAAACTCTGTGCACAGAAAAGCAGAACCAAACTGGCATCTGAGCATGGGAAATTTGTAAAGCAGTGCCCCCAGATTTAGTAAGGACTAAATCTTGTCCTTAGGACAGATCTTCACTGGTCAGTTGGGTGATTTGAAACCCCATTTTTAGCCTTTTGTGTGGCCATGATGGATGAAAATAAAAACTGTGACTTCCAATGTTTACCAGAGCTGAGTTCCCTCATCACCAGATGAGTTACCATCCATGAGTTACCATCTGCCATCAAGACTTGGTTAATGCCAGCCCTGAACACACAGTGCCCTTCCAGCACCAGAACAAGCAGAGCTGCCACAGAACCCAGAGTCTAAACCGTACACAAATGGATACCCTTGCTATAATCAGGTGTGAATGTTCTCATTCCTATTTCTCAGAGAATGCAGCTCTGAGACAGAGAAGTAATTCAGCACCGGAGGGAAAAGAAAGAAGCAGAGAAGTATTTTTGAAACTTGGCACAGAGGAGCAGAAGTTTCTAAACCAAGGATGTTCTTTCTGCTTCAGATGTAAGGAGTTTAAAGAATGATGAAATTTGCATTCTTATCTTTATCCCTTCCGCTTTCTCCAAACAGTCCTAGATGTATAAATAGAGAATACATTGCCAACAAGAGCCAGGAGTCTGAATATTTTATGCAGAAGGCAGCAAATGAATTAGCCTTTCCTACAGTTAATCAGAAGTGAAATGTGCTGTGCTATCCCAAGTCTTACCTTGGTTGGAATCTCACGACTGCTTCCTGGCATTTCAAAGCCACGTTCTGTGCATAGTTATTAGCTGAGGATCCAGCCTTCCCCTGCCACTCCATGAGGCCTGGCAATGCACACTCCAGCTCCTGCACAAAGAGAAAAAAAGGTGAATGCACGCTGTCAGTACCAATCCAATCTTAGATAAGTATTTTCCTTCAGGAAAAAATTGCTCCATGAGACCAGATGCTGGCTGAGGATCTTTGTTATTTTTCAGTATTACTCTGGAAACAACTGGAGAACACAGAAGATAAAAGGTTCTAAACAAAGTAGTATGTAATTTTACTGGAAAACAGTTTCTGAAACCAAAGCAGACTGTAACTTTTCTGTTTATTACTTAAATAACAGATGTCAGCTTCAGAGCTAAGAGGTTCTATACAAAGAATTCACTTGAAATTATTCACTCACATGTCAATAAGATTTTATTACTTGGGTATCATCAAAAAGAAGTCTGGCTGAAAAAGGCACATGCAGCTCACTTAAATAAGGTGTGTAAAATTTAACCATTTGCCTCTTTCCCTTCCCTAGCATAGGTGTAGCCTTACAAATAGAGTATTACTCTGGGGGGAAGGAAAGGCAGTAAGGGGAAAAAAAACCTCACATCACCCAATCTTCTACACAGAAAACAAAAAAAGGCAATTTAGTCCAAAAAACTGAGTAAAAGAACAGGAATGAGGAAAGTATCCATTTAAGTCCAAGCTTTTGAAAATCAGTCGTAGGGCTGTAAAAAGATGTGTTTGGCACATCTTAGTTTCCTTACCTATAAAATGGTTTGTATTATTTCCTTTGCATCGCAATGAAATAACTTAACAAAGACCTTTGAAAATGTGATCATCAAAGTGGGACTTTTTTTCATACCTCTTTATTAGCTTTTGTAATCCAATATTTTAGTTTAATAGTTTAAAAAATTAAAATACAGTGTGCTCTGCAAAACAACAGAGCTCCCTTCCCTGCTAAAGCAATATACCTGACTTTGCTCCAGTTTCAAAGCTTGGTTGGATGCATGGAAGTCAAAAGTTTGGATACAACTCTTCAGATGGGAACTTTCAGAGCAGAAGGAGCACAGCAATTCCATGTGCTTTCTGCTGGATGAAGGGGAAAGCTGAGAGCAAGAGCATGTGCTGGCAATAAGCCTTTGCTTGCAGGCTTGATCTTTGAGGACTTGGGTGGCTTTTGGTTGTTTCTGTATTTTTTTTTCTCTTCTATATGTTTGTTGCTGCCTATAAATCACGTCATTAGGGTGATAACAAGTAAACTAGGGAAACACCCTTGATGGAATCGCTTTTTCTAAATAGCAGTGAAATCCTGATGTGTCACAGGCACCTACAGCAGAGCCCCATCTTCTAATGCAATTTTGTTCCTTTTTCACTAAACAGGGTGACTTCTACAATGAAGTTGCATCATAATAAACATTAACAGAGTTAATATACCCAGAAACTGAAGTGAAACTTGCAGACTGCCTGATGTGTTCATGTGTTTTTGCAGCTGATGTATCAACATCAGCTTTGGCTTTTTGATTACTGCACACTTAAAATCACAATTTTAATGTCAAATTATTGGAAATTCTTTGACATTCAAGCAATTTTCACACTTCATTTATACTCTAAATACAGAACTTAACTCAGCAGTTTTCAGCCTTCTCATCTCTAGGCACTGACTGTCAAGCCACCATGTCATTTTCATAGCCATTTACCTTCATAATAAAACTTTAAAGCTGAATTCTTACTGTCTCTGCCTATTAGCTAGGAAGTTTACCATCCTTTTGTAAATATGTCCCAGTATCAATAGGGAATTTAAGGTTGATTCATTCAAGAATCCACACTCATGACTGTGCCCCCAAAGGTGAGTGACAGGAAAAAGGATTGGGCAAGGAAAGCAGACTTTCTATTCCTCACCATCTGTTCTCACACTGACTTCCTGGAGTATGCTCTGGGCATATGCTTCAAGTCAAATAAATCCTAATTCACTTTATTCCCTATAGATGAGTGTTGCAGAATTGCTAAGGAAGCTCATGGAACCATGGAAATGATGAAACCAAATGGCTGGAGTACAGCAGTGCAGTCACATTCCAGCAGCCTCCTGTCTTCCCATACTCTGGAAAGGTCAGAGTCTGCCTCCAGAGACAGCCCCTGCCCCCAGGGAAATAACTGTAGGCAACATGCAAAGTACAGCTTTATTCTGGTGACATTTTGTCATCTGATAAGTGGTCAAGTGAAGCCACCTGATGCTGCTCTTTTATTACACTTGGGTTTTTTAATCATCAGTGTAAATCTAATAACCTTTCCTTCATGAAGACCAAAGACGCATGACCACAGGGCTACACTTACACCAAAAATATCAGAGGCACAGGAATCACACTCCAGCTGAGAGCCTTGTGAAGCTCAAAATCCTCAAGCTGGCCATCTTTCCTCTACTTGATCATAGCTGTCTGACCCCTCTCAGTGACCTTCCTACAATGGAAACCCCTTGGATTCTCACTACTAGAACAGCACACAAAAATGGCTCCCATCCAAACAGATTTTAATCTTTCCAACACACGCAGCAAACATTCATCTCCTAATAGCTTCTTCTAATTTTAAAGGGACAATTCTCTGTAAAAGCAACTCACATGTTTATAAAACATAAGAGTGAATAGCAAACAGTTCCTTGGCTTATCAGAGCAACAGATTTAACAGAGATTCTGTCACTGCTCTGGTGTCACTCTTTCTGATCCCACAGAGAAGTCAGGCTAGGGAAGTGAGGAGACTGCTGAAAAAGCACTCTGTCAATAATCTCAGGAAAACAAGGATGAGCAGTTTAACCATGATGTGCAGTGCATCCTGCTTTTCCTTCATAAATGCATATGCTCAGAAAATGCTGTTTGACTTCATTTATCCCATCCAGTGGCTTAGTGGCAAGGAGTTTCACCAAGGAAGGTTCATGCATCACTTCTATCTTTCCTAATTCAAGCCCTTGAGTCATGTGAAAATTATCTGCCTGGCACCATCTTTCCTTCCAAAGGCTGCATGCTTAAGTCACACTGGTATTTTATGGCAGTCTAATTATACACTTAAAAAGTTTCCCATGAAAGAATTTCACCATTTCCAGTTAACCCCTTAGGGCCACGTAAAATGCCACAGAGCAGCAAATCTGTACTGTATTGGCTTTTGTTGGATGAGAGGTACAGGCAGAACACACACAGGGGGCTCAGAAGAGGCTGAAAAAGCAACAGATGACCTATGAGACATACTTTGCCCCATTTACCGCTTCTTCATGACTTTTCCTCCTGATCTATCTCTACTTGCTCTTCACGGGGCAAAATTCCCAAAATTTTTTTCTGTTCAGATGATACACATGCACACCTCATCTCCCTGCAGGTTAAATAATATTTCCTAGTAATGCAGTACAGTCACACACACACAAAAACCAGTTATTGTTTTATTTCTGGATGAGCTCCAGAAAAACAGGCAGGAAGCTTAGGGCAAGAGTTTGACATTGATATTCGGAAAGAGACTGTGATAATGATAATACCATTTGCCATTTGCTTTTCATTTTCCATCAGGATTCAAAAGGGCAGTTCTCACTTAGAAGGTAAGACATTCTGTTTAAAATTATGAAATCCCATTCTAAACTTGGTCCAAAATAATTCCTAGTCTATGATAAGTTTGAAGCACTTCAGAAAGAGTTCTGCAAATTTCTATCCACAGATAGGAAGAGAGGAGAGACAAAAAAGTAGACAAATATGTTATACAACAAAGAAACGATGGAAATATTGTCATCTGTATTTGTGTATGCACAATTTTATGTAAACACAGACATCTGTATTTGCAGATGTCAGGCCTTGTGCCTACTGCAGACCAATACATTTACCAACATAAACACTGTCTTGGATATGAGAATATTTCCATCTGAGGGGCTAAACCTGCACTAGAGCTCTACCCCTTACAGCGCACATCCAACACGACTTGGGAAGCACCAGGGAAGAACAGACGCATTTTCAGCAGCTGCTGAGCGGTGGAAGTCTGGAGTCAACAGAGCAAATGTACCTCCAGAGACAGCAGCAGAAGCTTCCTCATTTCTAGTCTTCCTTAATACCTTTTACAACATTTACAGTTCTGCTCCTCCCAGCTCAACCTAGGAAGATGGTGGAGGGTAGCACTGCTACTGCATACTGTCCTCATGGTGCGGACTTACTATTTAAACATGAGAAAAACAGAAATTAATATTAAGGAAAACCATGAAATCTCTCTATTTGCAGCCCAAATACCAGTGTCAGAGATCCTTGATCAAATAAACAAAACAGAAACTGTCTAATCCAGTGCTGCAGCTACCTAGTTTTGTATTTGGTGCAAGGAAACACAGGAAAACTGAGGAGAAATATTTGCACATCTTCAGCTATGCTCTCCACTCACTTCTGAAAGCAGCTGCAGCACAACCCTCTCTGCAATTCCCTAGCAGAAATAAACTGTTATTGCAGGAGGGTACTACACACTGCAGGTCCCTGGAAATCTCAGTAGATAATTGCAGGATCTCGAATCACACCATGAATTACCAGGGAGTCCCTCTTTGCACTTCAAAAGTTACTTAGACATTGTGCCACAAGCCTACCCCTGGTAAGTTTATTCCTTACCTGACTTTCCTCATGGCTTTTTCCATTTTCTAGCTTTACAATGGGCTTAGGTTTCCTCAGCTTTAAGTTGCCCATTTCAGGCTTTAGACAGCAGTCAATCACAACCTGCTGCTTGTGCTGCTGAGTGTCTTGCAAAGGCAGCTGCCTTTCCTCTAAAACAGCAGAGTTGTCCGGGTAATTTTCTTTGTTATCATTGTCTCTGTAAGAAAATAAAATTGAAATGCATCAGGCAGGATTTCAGACATCTGTCAAAACATTATGAAGGAAGAAAAGCAACAAGCTCTTAGCTGTTTATGGCATATCACTTTTACTAAGTTTAGTAGTCTACACATCAGTAATGGATCTAAACTACTGTTAGCATTATTACACACTAAAAGGTGGAGCTACTTAAATGCTAGCTTTAGAAGCACTCTTGGGCTTCAGACCTACAGTTCACATCTCCCAAATAAAATGTGAAACTGTCTTTTTCATGCAGAAGACTTCCCCCACCCAGTGATTCACAGTGAGCTATAATCTCACAAAAATATAATCACAGACAGTAATTCCTCTCTACAACATACTTCCCTTCTGACAGTCTCTGGCTTTGAGGGCCATTGCACAAAGGGAAGGAGGAAGTCACTCAAAGTAAGGTCTGAACAGCCAGAGATGTGTTTGGAGAAAACATCCTCCTGGTGTAAGAGCACACCTGGTGGCTTAAACAGTCACTGTTACTCATGGATGCTTAATCTGGGATCTGGGACAGACATTTTCAATCCCCATCCAAACTACAATGTGAGAGCTCTCTCCAAGGAGACCTTGCTAGTGTCATCCACACACAGTCAGTCCAGCCTTAACCTGGTCTCATGCCTTCCACTGGGAGCATCTCCGTGGCACCACAAAGTTACCGCAATGCAGAAGGCAAGGTTTCCTGAGGAGCTGGCAGCGTGAGCTGGGCAGCATTGCTGCTCCAAAATCCTTGGCTGTAGCTTGGTTTTCAGATGGTAGCTTCAACTGGTAGCATCCTAATGGTTAGCTGAGAGATGACCTCTCTCCTGGTGTGAAACTTCCACAGCTGAGGGAGTCAAGAGCTGTTGAATTTAATCCTCCAGATTTTTTTTTTTCTTTTTTCAGAAAGAGAAACTTGCTAGTTCAATGTTTTCTCCTAAGGATTTTGGGCTGCCAAACTCACTTTCCATCTGCAGCCCATCAGCATCCAGATGAATGCTTGCAGGGTGCCTATGGAGTTGAACACCACTGCTGCCCATGCCTTCTGCAAGTGTGCTCCAAAAGGCAGTTGTTAAAGCTACAGCTTTATAGCCCACAGGCACTCCAAGAGTGTGCACAAGTGTCGCTAATTTTAAGGTTTTTAAATCTTCCTGAAAGGTTAAATTGCATACCTTAGCAATCAATATATACTAATATAGCCATTAGAGAGGCATGCCTCAAGAATACTTCAATTAAATGAAAATTTGAAGGATTTTTTTTTCCCAGACACACTCAGCAATGAGCATATCCTTGCACAGTTGGAAAACTGCTCACTAGTGCTTTGTATCAGCTGCTGTACAGTAAAATTAAGTGTATAAACACCACAGCTGCATCTGAATGACAGGAGTATGATGTGAAGTTAATACAGACCATAATATATTTACTTATATAAAAGCAACAGTAATTAATCTTCATATTCATCACACAAAAGTACACAAGATAAATACATATTTCCCAGAAATACTAGCAGCTTTTTCATTCCCTTGTGAATAAAGGTTTCTTTATAATGGTTTAACAGAAGCAGTCACAGCTTCATTTGCTGCCAATGGATTTCAAAGTTTGCAGGAGAGTACCTGGGACTGGAGCTGCCTGCTTGATCTTCATGCACAGAGTCTGAATACCTGTCACACCTTGAAAATGAATACAAGATAATTACAGATCTGCCAGCTGCAGAAACTTAGCTTTTAGTAACACTACAGTGCAGCTTAAACTATAAACACATTTCTTTTCCTCATGTTTTAGTTAAGGTCATTTAAAACCATAGCTGCTTCATGATCCTTCAAATTTCAGAGGGAGAAGAGGATTTGAGATCTTCTTGTGTGCAAAATTTGGCATATCATTTTTCATACAAATGGAAATAATTTAAAGGAATGCGAATGTAACCATAAAAAAACACAGGAAAATTACAAGGAATTCTGTATTCTAATTGCTTATAGTATACTTCACATTAACCTCAAGAATAATTAGACACAACTAAAGATGCTTTTCTCCCAAACTCACAGAAATATTAACTATGGTAGAGCAGTCACTTTTTGTGTATCAGGAAAAGGAATCCCCAACTAAATTATGAAGTGAGAGTTAGTCTTAAAAAGTGAACTAGCACTATTTTTTAAGATGCCTGAAAAATTATAATCAATTACTTCCTTTAAGTTACAAACGAAAGAATTGTCCTAAGGCTGCCTAATCAAAAGAGAAGTCTGGATAAATATGCTAAGCCACAAGCAAAGTGTAGCTTAATTTTGCAGGGTGATTTAACCTGCAAAGCCCATGAGCAATCTTTCTTCAAACAAATATGCATCCATAAGCATGCACTCCTAAAATATGCAAACACTGAGCCTGGTAAAGTCAGGGTCCTCTGCTCACCCTCAGTTCATACTCACAGGGCACAGACACTAAGGAGGCCTGGATCCCTTGAAGTTTTCTGGCAGAGGAATCTCTTCATTATGGGGGAAGCAGCCTGTACTTTTGCTGACTTGTAAAATTTTGAGAAGAACTGCCCCACTTAGAAGAGAGTACATTAAGTGACACATTCATAGCTCTGTGTTGCAATTTGATGGCAAGGGTTTTAATATATTCCTCTTCCCCACCAGTCTTCTGCTGGTGTCTATATCAAAAGTCAGACTGCAGCAGAAAATATTTAAAGGGCCACTCAAGTGTTTACACTTCCTGAATACATCAGCATATGCATGAAAGCATTTGCAGCTTACAACTGGAGCAGAGAACTACAGTGGCAAATCACCCTAATCACACAATATTCCTGCAATGAATGCAGCTTTCCCTACATGGCAAAGTGGGATGATGGATGGAAGACAGGGCCTGATGTGCTAAATGGAAAAATTCACTGTAGAAACCTTGTTGCCTCTGGATGTCAGTCACACCCTCCCCCCTGGCCAACACCTGACTACCTCATGGGAAACAGCAAGGGGTGGGCACAGGACACACTGGGGGTTTGAATAAGGAAGCCCAGTGTGAAAGGAACCAGGAACCTGTCTGTAAAACTAGAAGGAATATCTCAGAGGGAAGAAACAACATAAAGAAAATGCATTGTGAGGAGAGAGTGGCAAGGTCAGAGCTGGATGGCAGAGCTCTTGGCACAGACACAAGAGAAGGAGAAGGTGCCACCAGGTGGGGTGTGCACGATGGGCCAAGCCACAGCCAGCAAACTCCAGGCATCCCCTAAAGGGACAAACTCTCCCTCCTGGGTGTGCCTCAGAGAGAGGAGGTGGGAGGAAGCAGTTCTGACACCAGTTTTGCTCTCCCCTTCTCTCACCAGTCACCTCACTTGGCAGCCCTCAGTCCTGAAAGACTGTCTTGGCAATGGAGAACACACCCTGGGGGCACAATAGATGGCTGAGCACCAAGCCCAGTGGCCAAGCCAAGTCCAGTTAAGGAGCACTCTCCTTAAGTGGGGGAGCTGAGCTGGCTGTAAGGAGATGATCTCGAGAGGCAGAGGCCCTAACTCAGCATCCAGCAACTGATAGGAGCCATAAAACAAGACACAACCTATAAACAACCTGAGCATGACAAAATGTATTTGAGTAACTGGATGGCAGCAGACAGAAAAGACAAGCAATAATAAGTCAAAGAATAAAATGACCATCACAAAATTTAAAAGATCCTGAGGAAGTTCAGATGTAAAAAGATTTCCAACAGAAATTTTGTCCTGGTTATAAATAATAACCAGGAAGCTGAGAGCTCGCTCACACAAGACAGTGCTTGAGGCTAGGACCATAACAGAACCTTTAAAAAGATGAATTTGCGATATAATGCAAATATCCATCATTAAAGAATGGAGTGTTTTTACCTTGATTTCTTAAAGAAATGCATCTTCTGTGTTCATGCCACTTGTCTGCACATATCAAAACAAACATCCACACCCTCCTTTTCTCTCGGCAGTAACTTGTAAGTCATGTTGTCTAAGTCATGTTGTCTAACTTTAGTTGTATTTAATAGATAGGGTGACATTCGAGAGTTTGGGGTTTTTTTGATAGTTTGTGGCTGTGTAGCAGAGACTTCCCATCAACCAAAAAAATGCAGTAGCATCTTCCTCACTCTTAAACCACCAGAGAATATGCCACAACAGCTTAAGGTCAGAAATCCAAATGGGTTGAAGCTTATATTGGGTAGGAAATGTCTTTCAACAAAACCAGTGATGTGAATCCTCACCCTTCAATGCCAAATCCAGCTAATGATTGATGGATATCTCTTCAAAGTAAGTACATCCACTATTGATCTTATGGCATGGGCCAGAGTCAGGTCAGAGATGGGATCCCAGCCTGGATGGAGTGTTGCTCTGACTCTGGATAGTACTGTCTCTGTGTTTCTTCCAGGGCCTCTGGGTTAATGGGACCAGCTTCTTTAACTTTCTTCCATTTTCACCTTCCCACAGGAGCCATTTCAGAACAGAGTGAAAACTGCTCCCTTTTGCTGACTTGACCTTTCAGATGCTCACGTGAACAGCTCCCAAGCCAGGCTGCATGCATGGCTTGCTGGGAGCTTTGCACCCCCAGGCATCCGCCTTGTCTGGAGAAATGTTCCTGAAAGTGCTGTACCACTGGCTTTATGTCATTCAGGAAGCCCTGCCTTTGCCTTTGTCACAAATAAAGACAGAAATTGTTAAATGACGATGTCTTGATTTGCATGGAAAGCTCTCTCTTTCTTCTGCTAAATAAAAGTAAATCTATTTTTGTCTGTTTTCAGAGATGGTCAACACAAACAATAAGTGCTGAAATTACTAAGAACTCTGTATCCTCAGCAGCTCTCAAAAGCAGGTGTTGGGGGACAGCTCTAAACAAGCCTTAGGGATGGCAACTCTGGAAATCAAGTTTGTTCAATTGGACAATACTTTTCAGACATCATTGTTCACTTGCTTTGTTTTCTAAAAGCGCATTTCTACCCCTTTGTTTGGAAATATAAGATTAAAAATGAAATCCCACAAACAAGAACCAACAGCAG